TACCAGGTTTTTACTGTAGCATTTTTAGTCTTTTACCATTTTTACAGTGTGGCAGTTTAAGAGAAAATTTACATTTACATTTAGTCATTTTTAGCAGACGCTTTTACCCGAAGCGACTTACAAATGAGGACAATAAAAGCAGTCAAAACAAACAAAAGTGCAAATGACAAGTCTCGGTTAGCCTAACGCAGTACACGTAGCAAGGTGTATATAAACAGTGTTGGGCAAGTTACTTCCAAAATGTAATACATTATATATTACTAGTTACTGTCTTTTGAATGTAATTAGTTACATTACAATATTACTGTCTCTGAATTGTAATGCGTTACACTACTTTTGAGTTACTTTCACCAAAATATCCACAGAAGTATTATAAAATGCCAAAATGTAGTTTATTGCTGTTCATACTACATTCAGTGGAGTGTAATGTGGTAGGTCTATTTATTCAGTGGCGGAAACGGGCTTCCATAGTTTTGACCTGGAAGAGATTTATAAAAATTTCTAAAAACTTTTTACTTTTACTAAGGGAATGAGACTTTGCAAGTGTAAACCCTCAAAATGCACATAATTTTTTCAAATTTTTTACAATTATTTTTAAAGAGATATAACCATTAAAAAAAAAGAATGTTTCAAGTTCATTTCGGACAAGGGTACACTGTAAAAAAAAAAAACATTTACGGTAAAATACCGGCAGCTGTGGTTAACAGAACTTTACCGTAAAAAAAACTATGGTATCAACATAGGTATTACAGACTTAACTTAAATTCACAATAAAAGAAAAAAAAAATGTATTGACTGATGTAATGTTAATATACCAACCTATTTAAGTGCTAATATCTGTGTTGTACCATTGAAATACACTGACAACCACCAAAAACAGGTGGTGATGAGAAAGTCACATGATGAATCAAAGCTCATCATAAACAGCTCTTCCACACGCTGAGGAGAGAAATACTTAAATATAGAAGGTGCACAGTGTCATTCTCACAAATACTAAACACCATATATATATATAATGCATATAATGCAATAAACATTAATAGTATTTTACTGTAAAATTACATTAAATGTAATCACAGTTATTCACCATTTATAGTATGGTAACTTGTTGTTAACCAATTACCAGGTTTTTACTGTAGCATTTTTAGTCTTTTACCATTTTTACAGTGTGGCAGTTTAAGAGAAAATTTACATTTACATTTAGTCATTTTTAGCAGACGCTTTTACCCGAAGCGACTTACAAATGAGGACAATAAAAGCAGTCAAAACAAACAAAAGTGCAAATGACAAGTCTCGGTTAGCCTAACGCAGTACACGTAGCAAGGTGTATATAAACAGTGTTGGGCAAGTTACTTCCAAAATGTAATACATTATATATTACTAGTTACTGTCTTTTGAATGTAATTAGTTACATTACAATATTACTGTCTCTGAATTGTAATGATATTATTACTTTTGTAATGCGTTACTCCCAACACTGTATATAAATATATACATATATATATATTATACACACACACACACACAAAGAAAAACAAGTAGATAGAATAGAAAAAATAGAAAGCTAGTGTTTGTTTGTTTTTGAAATATGTTGTGGAAACTAATTATAATCATAATATTATATCCTAATAATTATAATCATATTATTATATCCTAATAAATTAGCTTTTATTGTATTATAGTGTAATTATGCCGTTTCAATTGCACTAAAGAAAAAATGTCACCCTTGCTATGACTCAAAGTAACATGAACCTACAAAAAAAAAAAAAAAAAA